AATACACACAAAATATATAAATTCTACTTATTTAGATGTTCATTTTCAGCATTTGCTTACACGAATACATTCTTCAATTATAGTCAGAGTCCCACTATATTGTTCTTGTTTGTGTACTACTTGAGCTTGATCTCACTCCTTCCCACGCCACAGACGTCTTGAATCAATATGCAGCTGTCTCTGTTCTACGCTGGGATATGGAAACTATTAAACAAAAACAAACAAAAAAAAAAACCTTAATGACAGTTACCTTTCACAGCTATTAAACTTTTACAAATATGCTCAGTAGTTGTCCAACTTTACTCAGTTAAGTTATCCAAAATTGCCATCGATACCTGTCTTCTAGGAGAGACGAGCGAATATTGTCCAACAAGCTTTGACCACAGAGAGCGATGTTGGAATGCAATCCTCGGCCACAGGGATGTCTCTAGTAGATAGATATAGCGTATAAGCAATGACTTGCGAGTAATCTCTTCCTCCAGCTACATGATTCGTTAGCGCGTCCGTCTAGAATAAAAAAGAATAGATCCCATACATTGAGGCAAATGTAAAAGCTCAATTCCTATGCACAAAATACAAACCTTAAGCTACATCGAGAGTGACACCGCACTACTCAAGCTGTAGTCTGTCACAATTTATTATTATGGCGATCTTTCAGCTCTACATCTGTGTCGCATGCTTCTCATTCATGACCTAGCGTATGTTTACTTCGTTAGCAGTTGTGTCTATATGAGTTCCACTGCGCTAAATACACTGCTCTGACAGCACTCAGTTTCAGTCTGAGGTGTGCTAGTCGATGCGATATAACGCGTTACTTCAATTAGAACTATCGCGGTGTGTTGTATGCTCTCTCATCCTTTGCCTCGTTCTAGCTGTTTTGCGTGGATCTGATACTCAATTGCCAGCCTTAATAAGCGATCTTTAAGTAGTCTACAGATAGTAACTTTTCTCTCTCTGACACGACGTTAGTGTGATAAACTAGCGGTGCCTAGCACGACAGGAGAGCGCACAAGATGACCAACTGTAGAGCAAGAGCGTTAACAACACAAATGAATGATAAGGTTTCTAATCACACGTATTCATTTACACTAAAGATAGTTAGTTGATATATCTGAGAACGTAAAACGTTTTGCTTAGAACAGAGCTTCTTAGCTAAAATGAGGATTGTGGCTTATTGTCAGGGTTTTACCTGTGCCAAATTTTACAGTATTAGGTCAAAATAGTGAGACTTGTGCTGCTTTTGGTAGTGTCTTTCTCTTGTCTTGAGGTACTCTCTGCTTTCTTAACTCTGGGGTTTTTGGAGGTTACTGCTGAGACTTCTGCCACTGTTGAGGAGCTCAGCTGAGGAACAGGGGTGAAAAGAAACACAAGTAGACACGTCACCCTCTTTTACTTGTATATAAATAATACAGTGTTGAGTCAATATTTGACTTGTCCCTTCCTCTACAGGCTCTGGTTGCTTTCACTGGCTTCTTGGCTTTCCAATTTCAATCTTCACCCTTGTGTGTGATTTTAGTGAATGGGTCGTCTTTCTGCTTCTCTTTGCTCTTTCTCAATCAAATCTCAATTGTCTGTAAAGAGGAAGAATTTATTGCTTTTAGAGAGCTACTCAAAGTTTTGCTTTCCAAAATACAACCCCATCTGTTAAAAACCAAATAAAATAAAGGACAGAATTTCAAAATATTATGTTAATACTACCTGCTGACTTTTATATCACCAATTGATTGTGAACTATTACATGAATTACTGTGCATTCAGGGTGAGTTTATGCAATAACTTTCAGTAAGAAATTTAACAGCAAACACTTGTAAGTATACTTACATGTCGCTTCTCCCTCTGCCGGCCAAGCAGGCCAATTCTTTCCGAGGCCAGTTCCTCAGGACTCATTCGAATTAGGTTACCAGGAGAAATTTCCCCTTTGAGAACCCTCTTAAAGAGGACCTAAAAAAATACAAATAAAATAAAGATTAAGCAAATGGAACCACATTTTTATTCAACTGAAATACAATGCCAAAGACACTTGGATCATACTTGATTTTAAGGTACTTACATTATTTTTAGTATCTTGAGGTTAAACATTAAGCTTCTATACTTGTTCTTGTACTTGTTGTCAGTGTCTTTATTACAAGTGAAAAAAAGCTCTCTCTCCGTCTTCTTGGCAACTCAAGAGGCTCTCTTCCACTTGAGATGTTCAAATCGGACTCCTTCAACCTAAAATGGCAGTAATCACATTTGTTGCACTATAGAATTGTTTGTTAATTTCCATGACCAAAAACGAGTTTTGAATGCAAATGGTCAAGGACTTAAGGCGAGTTATACTCATCCCTTTTTATACTTTTAAACTCCTATTGGAAATACAATACTTATAACCTTCTTTAGTATAGGGAAGTTTTCAATTTCAGAGAATCACTGAGAGGTCCCACCCTACCTTCGCAACCTAACTGATTGCGCTCCGACAGGACTACAGTTTCTTTGAAGCTTGAAGATAGAGTTCTTTACTTCTTTTGAAGAAGCCAAGCGCCTGTGTAGGACAGAGGTATGAGATATCTAGTGAGCAGCATGCCAGATAGAAAATCTGTTGAGCCAACAAGGACAATATACAAAATTATACTAATGTTCGCTAAAACTGGTATCACACACTGACCAGTTGGATATGTAAACAATGTTTGCAAACTTAATGTACCAAGTACAAAGAAAGGGATGAGATTTTACCCTTTCATTCTGCAGTTGAACAAAGCACTGTTCTAGGGTAAATTGTAGATTACTTCAGTTAGCCAAATCTGACCACAACAGGTATGTAGAACAACTGTATTAGCAGCAAAGATGACACTGACAATTGGCTTCCCAATATGGAAAACAAAAGAATAACAGACAGACAACACAACAAAAACTGTGTGCAGCTATTTTAAGAGTCGGCTTTACCCATACAGACACATTCCCCTTTTTGTTTTTTTGTTTTAAAACGCCTCAACAGGCAGCAAAGATGATAATAAGATGATGATGATCTCATTAATTAATTAATCAATTAATTAATTACTATTATTTTATCATTTAATATATATATATATATATTGTTATAGGTAATATTTATATAAAATTTAATATTAATATCATTAATATATATATTGATATAATTTAATATTATTTATACATTCATTCATTTAGAACTGGTGGCAATCAAAATCCACAAAAAGATTGAAGATCACATCATTCAAAGGGAAGTGGCGATGCTACAGGCAGTCAGGGCTCTAGACCCAGACAAAAAGAACATTATAAGATTCATGGAGAATTTCATGTTCAACGACCTCTCTTGTCTGGCCTTCGAAATGCTAGACAGGAGCCTTTGGGACCTAATGGAGGAGAGTAAGCAGGAGCCATTGAGTGGCAGTGAAATTCAGCCTGTGACCCACCAGTTACTGGTTGCTTTTGATGCCCTGAAGAATATTGGAATCATGCACACAGACTTGAAACCTGTCAATATTATGGTTGTTAACCACAAGGATCAGCCATTCAGGATCAAGCTGATCGACTTCGGTCTGGCCCTTCCAGTGAGCCAAGCGGAGGTTGGAATGCTCATGCGGGCCAGTGCAGGGCTCCAGAAGTGACCTTGGGCCTCCCTTTGTCTGAATCTGTTTATACGTGGGGAGTGGGCTGCGCCATGGCATTTCTGTACTTCTTCTCTTCCCTGGTAACTGTCCATATCACTGGATGAAAGCTATGTTGCAGCTGCTGGGCCGACCAGTTGATAAGAGCTGATTGCTGGAAAATACAGTTGGATGCATTTCACCTCGGAACTGGACGAAGAGTGGAGACTAAGGACACCAGAGGAGTACAAGGAAGTGACTGGTGTCGAGGCCAGTAGTTTATGAGAGTTTTTGTGACTGGGCCTGGCATTTAGAGGATGCAGTGAAGAGATATTGAGCAAAACGCGATGATCTGGAGTATGAAGACCGGATGGCATTTATAGACCTCCTGAATTGGCGCCTACATCCAGTTACTGAATACAGAGTTACTCCCCCCTCTCTCCCTCATTTCTCTCTCTCTCTCTCAGCCCAACCGGTCGAGGCAGATGGCTGCCCACCTTGAGTCCGGTTCCCTTTCCCCATCAAAAGGGAGTTTTTCCTCTCCGCTGTCGCCAAGTGCTCGCTCATGGTGGGAACTGTTGGGTTTTCTTGGTGATGGGGTGGTCACTGATCTGGGCTTAATGTTTGAGACCTAATAAAGACCTAAAAAAGCCTCAGCTCAAAAAACAACAACAACAAAAAAACCTCTAGTGTAGTTGTTGCAAACCTGGACGTCACAAGATGAATCTGGAGGGCCTCAAGGTGATTCACAGGACAGGCTGAAAAGAAAAAAATTTGTTCTGCTACTCAATTAGGATTCTTTTATCTGACTTCTCTTTGAACTTGTTTCTTGTGAAATCCTGGAAGGTTTTACCTCGTTGCGCCTTTAACAGTTACTCAAATGATAGAATTTTTTATTAAAATTGATTTGGTCACAACACACTGCACTCCGAACCAAAAATTCCAGCTTTACTTCAACATTAGAGACCTGGAACATGCAGAGACAAAAAATGTAAAATGAAACAAAAAATATGTAACAAAAAATAAAATAATTAAGTCTTAGAATCAAAATCTAAGAAATACTAAGAAATACCAGTTAATATGGGCTTGATTTTAGGGTCATTAAATGAAAATCCATGCTGCTCTGAGAGGCTTATAGAAGAAAGAGTCTTTGGTTGAACATCCTGTAGACATGTTCAGCCTGTAGTTTAGCTTTTATTTTTTAAAGCCTTCAAGATAGGGATGAGCAGAATTTTGCGTGTTGCTCACAATGTTTAAATATTACATTAAAAAAATTAAACAGTAATGTGTCTCTCCATAAACAATGTCCTTGTAACTGTTATTGCTGTGAACAGGTTACATTGAAACTAGTTTCTACTGTACAAATAAGTGCACTGAGTCTGTATTACTAGACTGCTGTTTTATTTCTTCCTGCAGGAGACTTTTTCTGCCTCTCCTTGAAATCTGGGTTTGTCCAGCTGCGGTTCAATCTGGGAGACGGCACCCACATGCTGCAGTCCGTTGGGCGAGTGGACTCGCGCGGCAGGACCTGGCACACGGTGAAGGCTGGCCGAATTGGACAGCAAGGCTTCCTCAGTCTGGATAATAAAGAGGTTATAGAGAATGTGACTGAAGGGATGACCACCCTCGATGTCGCTACAGACATCTTCGTCGGAGGTGTGTCCACTCTCAGTTTCGTCTCCACGGATGCAACCGAAGGGGAGCCAATGGGCTTCACTGGCGGGCTAAGAGAACTTATAGTCAACGGTCAAGAGCTTGGGTTAACAGAGGTGGGGGCAGTAGGGGGAGCAAACGTAGGGGACTGGGATGGGACGGCCTGCGGGTACAAGGTGTGCCAAAATGGAGGTCACTGCAGGGCAGCGAGTCACTCATTCACATGTATATGCCCACCATCATGGACTGGCTCTGTGTGCAACCAGTCTGTCAGCTGTGCAAACAACATGTGCATACACGGCTCCTTGTGCGCTCCATTCAATGTGACCTCATACCGCTGCATGTGCCCCTTAGGACTGGGAGGGAGGTACTGTGACACAGAAATATCCACAGACACACTAAAGTTTGTGGGAAACTCGTTTGTTAGATACTGGGACCCAAGATACAACGTGAGAAATTTAAAATACACACAGGTTTCTTTCAGCTTCCGCACAAGCTCAAATGCGAGTCTGATCATGTGGATGGGAAAGGCAGAGCACGAAGATGACGACTACCTCGCAATTGGACTCGAGAGTGGCCACCTGAAAATTGCAGTCAATCTCGGCGAGAGACTTTCCCTCCCATTAACTTTCAGAAATCTTACACTGTGCTGCAACAAATGGCATAATGTCTCCCTATCTCTAAACAGCACCGTCATTCAGGTGTTCCTGAATAGTACGAGAATCCTTTTTGAAGATGTGGACCCATTTGAGCGTTACGTGGCCTTAAACTATGGGGGTCAACTTTATTTTGGAGGGTTCGAATTACACAGAAACATATCGGTTGTCACTTCTGGGTTGTTTTCAAAGGGCTTTGAAGGAAATCTTAAAAATGTTCATTTGTTTGAAGATACCAAACCAGTGCTGTTTCTCAAAAATAGTGAAGGTTTTAATGTTCATGAGGGAAATGAATAGTGGTGAAGATGTAACTCCCTGCATTTACGATACCTGGAAAAAAAGCTTCTATGGTGTTTTATAATGCCCTGGTAGTGCTACACATTTGTCTGTAAGGAGACTTGTGTAGCACTTGGCAATAATTAGGTTCCAGTTTTTTAAGGGAAAGTTCACACTAAACTATACTTTACAACGTGCTTCCTCAACACTTCATAGCTCAGGTGTCATTTTACTTTTTTATGGGTTGTGGAGATTTTACTCATATGGGTACATTGTCTGAATCAGAGCTCTGTAAAAGGACAAATTTCAACAATCAAATAACATGAATTCAAGTCCTTTATGTCTGATTCCTTGGCAAACAGTAGTGTTTTTTTAGATAACAACTTTACTGTCTAAAATCACTGTAATAGTACAATTTGAATCCAGTATCCAAGTGGTTTTTACCTTTAATACAAAGACGTGAGAAGTTTTTATAATCAACAATAAAAAAGGATTAGCTTTATTACGAACTGTACATAAACACACAGTGCAAAGGCACACTTCATCTCTAATGTATATTACAAGCCAAAATGTACATACTTTTTCAAAAGAAAGTAAGTTTATAAAATATTTAAGCAATTTAAAAGAAATTCAGTTCAGTTGAAAGCAAGCTGCTGTTTAGATCCATCCTCAGTTAAATGTTTTCTGTTACATTCATTCCAAATGTTTGAACTTAAACTTCTCACCAAATGGTCCACACGTGTGTTGTAAGTTACGAGACTGTGAAAACGCTCACTGATCATTTGTAGTCAGTACAGCAGCTCAATATGAACAGGACAATAAAAGGTTAAAAATTTGAAAATGTTCCAATACCGGTCTGAAAAGAATCCATGATAATCGTCACAGTCCCAACTGAAATGATATCTCATTTTGACTGTACTGTCAATAACATAAAATGGAACTTCAATAAAGGAAATGGCATATAAGCTGCAGACCGGTGTATAAAACAACAAACACACACTAGCAGCCAACATAGCTGAAGTGGTTCGAACCAGCCTAGTGACCAGCAAGCTAACAGTCCCTCTCAGAGCCCTGAACGCTCGCTAGCAGGGCTTAAAAAGCAAAATAAAAGCAACATAATTATGAGTAACTGTCTTTTGAACTTCTCCGTCCATTCTCATAATCAGAGTCCCGCCTGTGTCTGTGTCTGTCCCTGTGACGGCTGCTGTGGTCATCGCTGTGGTGCCTCTCTTTCCTCTTCTCACCGTAACGGTCGTCTGAGTGTCCGTGGTGCCTGCTCCTCTCTCTGTGCTTGTCGTCATGGCTGCGATCATGCTTTTTCTCCCGCTCCCGGTCGTGATGTCGGCTCTTTTTCCCATGGTGGGAGTCCCTGTGATGGCCTTGCCTCCCGTGGTGATCTCTGTCCTCTGTGTTACGTGGCCTCTCCCATGGGTCGCTGTATCGCTCCTCCAGACGCTTGTAGTCTTTGGCCAGGGTTGGAAGTTGCTCAGATGACTGAGAGTAATTCTGAAGCCCAGGAAGAGCATGTGAAGTGCTATCCTGAGGCCATGGCGTACTATGATTCTGATCCTGGGTGTTTGGGGTGGGGAAAGTGTTAGGAGGAGGGCCACTTGGGTAGTCATAGCTGCCATGTACCTGAGGCTGTTGCTGTTGCAGAGGGAACGGTGCTGCACTGTTGTATGCTGGGAAAGCTGGTGCTGCTTGTGGTCCCTGCACTGCAGGATATAAAGTTGGAGTTAATGCAGCACCAGTCTGGGACATGCCAGGATCTTCCTTTTCACTAGGAAACGACTGAACAGCACTTTGGTTTTGTCCCTCAGGCTTGTTCTTAGCCTGAGAAAGCTGTAAATATCCTTGGTGAAATGGTGTAACTGGATCATTTCTACTGCTGCTCAGCACAGGAACAGGTTTAGGACTTGAAGCAGCTGGGTGGCTGGCTTTATCCTTTTGTAGCACCGTTGTTTTATCGTCAGTCACACTAGAATATGCTGAGGATTTTTTCAATATTCCACTTAAAGGAGGTTTTGAGCTGTTTGTGTGATCTGAAGCAGCCTGGGATTTTGATTGTGACAAAGAATTCCCTTCAGACGTTCCTTTTTCAGTTTCAGACAAAAGGCCAGCATCGCCTTTGTTTGCAGTGGCAGCACTGCTAGTTTCAGTCCCACTTGGAGCTGTTGACAAGCTTGCCAGGAACACTTCAGTCGATACATCTGGAGGCTTATCTTTCAGAGAGATGTGCGCACCATGGGTCACCACTGCAGCATCTTTTCCTGATGAGTTGTTAGCAGTAGATGTATCAGTCAGGCTGGAGAGCTCCGGTTCAGTTTTGACAGGTTTAACCTCTTTCTTCTTGATGACAAAACGCTCTCGTGGCGCAGCAGCTGTTGGACTTTTTGAGTTTCCAGTTGATGCCTCTGTTTTCAGAGGTGGTTGGGTCTTCGGAGTGTCGTCTGCTGTTGTTGCAGGTTTTCCTCCAACATCTGGCAGAGGTGGCAACTCCCCACCCCAGCCTACTAACACACCTGGAAGAAAGCGCAGTGGTTTTTGCAGTTCCTGATTGTTGGTCTCCTCTGATGCAGATGGTTCTTCAAAAGCCTCTCTAACTGGCTCATCAACATCTTCAGTAGTGTTAAGTGGTTTGTCCTTCTCTTTTTTGTGCGTAGTAGTCAAGGAAGAGAGGAAAAATTTCTCATCCTCCTCTGTTGCTCTGGTTTCTTTAGTGGAAACAGTGATGGGCTTGATCTCAGGGATAATCCTCGCAGTTTCATTCATGTCCACAGGAAGGAAATCCTTTTTCGATCTCTGGCGAATTATGAGTCCGAGGAGAAGGTTGGCACGGTTGTTTTCTAAGCCTGTCAAATTAAAAGATTAATTAACTTTGAAAGATCAGAAATGTTTGTGTAATTTACTAAGAAAAAATAATTATCCATGTGAAAACACATGCAGCGTTCAGGTTACCTGGCCCATCAAAGGGAACAAGCTGATGTGGAACTTTTTCAGTGGCACCCAAAGGAATGAGATACATGTCCTTCACTTGTTTCAGGTTATTGGACACCACCCCAAAACGCCTACGACTGCTGAAGTAGGCATACAGAAGAGTATAGGAGATCTCATCTTCATCTGTCTCAGGGGAGAAGCGAATCAGGCACACCTCCTTTAATAAGAGAAAAAGCATGCGTCAGTAAAATCTTCCACCCATGTACAAGTAAAGAAGAACAATGCCTGAGCAAAGTGTGAGCTGCTCTTGATCGCAATGAACCGTATGTAATTGTGCATGATTGTTTTTTATGACTGAACTGTGCTATAGGCTACATGATCACTTTAAGAAGGAAAGCTGCCAAAAAAACTCACTTTTGTTCCACTTGCCCGAATCTTCTCCAAGTAGTCCCACACTGTCTGTGGACTGATCCTCCCGCCAACTTGAATGCTGTCTGGAAGGTCCTATTTAAAAAAAACAAACAAAAAAAAACAACCTTAATGACAGTACCTTTCAACAGCTATTAAAACTTAAAATATGCTCAGTAGTGTCCACTTTACCTCAGTTAAGTTATCCAAAACTCCTGATACTGGGAAAGCGTTTGTCACAAGCTTTGCCACAGAGTGCATGTGAATGAATCCTCGCCACAGGGATTTCAGGTTGGAAAGGAAAGCAGCTTCATCATCTCTTCCAGCTACATGATCTGACCTGTGAAAAGTATATTAGCAATGTAGCCATCTTGCAAAAACAACTTAGACACAAGAACCACACAGAGTGTCACAAATTATTGCTCACCTTCCTTCATAACCAGACTGAGCGTTTCTAAAGCTCTCCTCTAAAACAGTGAGGTGCAGGTCATCGTCAATTGCAGGCGGGGTTGTGCTCTTTGTTTCTTCTGTTTTGGTGGACTGCCTCCTAACAACTGTAGTAGCTACTTTGACCACTTTGGTGGGTGCCTCCTCCACCGGGGGCGCCATACGACCTTAAAGAAGCAAAAAGGTAACAAGTCTGTAACTAAAGATAGTTAGTGATATATTGAGAAAAATGTTTTGCTTAAGACAGAGCTTCTTAGCTAAGATGAGGATTGTTGCTTATGTCAGGGTTTACCTGTGCAAATTTTACAGTTTAGGTCAAATAAGTGAGACTTGTGCTGCTTGGTAGTGTCTTTCTCTGTCTTGGTACTCTCTGCTTTCTTCTCTGGGGTTTTTGGAGGTTCTGCTGAGACTTCTGCCACTGTTGGAGGAGGCTCCAGCTGAGGACAGGGGTGAAAAAGAAACACAAGTAGACACGTCACCCTCTTTTACTTGTATATAAATAATACAGTGTTGAGTAATATTTGACTTGTCCCTTACCTCTACAGGCTCTGGTGCTTTCACTGGCTCTTGGCTTTCAATTTCAATTTCACCCTTGTGTGTGATTTTAGTGATGGGTCGTCTTTCTGCTTCTCTTTGCTCTTTCTCAATCATCTCAATTGTCTGTAAAAGGAAGAATTTATTGCTTTTTAGAGAGCTACTCAAAGTTTTGCTTTCCAAAATACAACCATCTGTAAAAACAAATAAATAAAGGACAGAATTTCAAAATATTATGTTAATACTACCTGCTGACTTTTATATCACAATTATTGTGAACTATTACATGAATTACTGTGCATCATCAGGGTGAGTTTATGCAATAACTTCAGTAAGAAATTACAGCAAACACTTGTAAGTATTACTTACATGTCGGTTCTCCCTCTGCCGCCAAGCAGCCAATTCTTTCGAGGCCAGTTCCTCAGGACTCATTCGAATTAGGTTACCAGGAGAAATTTCCCCTTTGAGAACCCTCTTAAAGAGGACCTAAAAAATACAAATAAAATAAAGATTAAGCAAATGGAACCACATTTTTATTCAAACTGAAATACAATGCCAAGACACTTGGATCATATCTGATTTTAAATGGTACTTACATTATTTTTAGTATCTTTGAGGTTAAACATTAAGCTTCTATACTTGTTCTTGTACTTGTTGTCAGTGTCTTTATACAAGTGAAAAAGCTCTCTCTCCGT